CCGATGGGTAACCTCACTTCCAAGCCAAATCGCGACAGTGATCATGCATCATGCTCGCGGCCAAAAGCGTTGAGTGACCAGGGGGCCCGAGGGGCAACCTCACCTCTGAACCGATCCGCGTCGCGGATCATGCGTCACTCGCGCCGCGTGAGCACTGCTCTTGGTCAGGAATCGGGAGTGATTCGAGGGCCCGACGGGCAACCTCACGACAGGGCTAGCACGTCTCGGTGATTGCCGCCGCCGCTGCAGCACGGGCCGGACTTCCTCCCCCCTTCCTTCTCCACCTCCACCCCATCGTTTTCCCCTTCCTCGTCTTCCGCTTTGCGATACTCGCGCGTTTCAAAATGGCGACCCAAGAAATTAATTTCACAACCTGGCGATGGTGTAAGAATCGGGAATGATTAGCGGGCATGATGGGCAACCTCATTTCCAAGCCAAATCGCCACAGTGATCATTCATCATGCTCGTGGTCAAAAGAACTGAGTGACAAGAGAGCCCGAGGGGCAACCTCACCTCTGAAACGACCCGCGTCAGTGGTGACAGTTTCCCAGAATGGCAGCCCCCCAGGGACGGCGAGGTCTAATCTGAATCTGGGTGGTGCCTCACTCCGCGGGACTGACCAGCAGCCTTCGAAAGTGGTGACAGTTTCACAGATCGCAGCCCCCCCCAGGGATGGTGAGGTCTAATCTGAATCTGCGTGGTGCCTCACTCCGCTGGACCCACCAGCAGCCTTCGAAAGTGGTGACCGTTTCGCAGACGCAAACCCCCAGGGATGGCGAGATCTAATCTGAATCTGCGTGGTGCCTCACTCCGCTGGACCCACCAGCAGCCCTCGAATGTGGCGACAGTTTCGCAGATCGCAGCCCCCCAGGGACGGCGAGGTCTAATCTGAATCTGCGTGGTGCCTCAACCCGCTGGACCCACCAGCAGCCTTCGAATGTGGCGACAGTTTCGCAACCAGCAGCCCTCGAATGTGGCGTCAGTGTCGCAGATCGCAGCCCCCCAAGGACGGCGAGGTCTAATCTGAATCTGCGTGGTGCCTCACTCCGCTGGACCCACCCTCAGCCCTCGAATGTGGCGACAGTTTCGCAGATCGCAGCCCCCCAAGGATGGCGAGGTCTAATCTGAATCTGCGTGGTGCCTCACTCCGCTGGACCCACCAGCAGCCCTCGAAAGTGGCGTCAGTGTCGCAGATCGCAGCCCCCCAGGGATGGCGAGGTCTAATCTGAATCTGCGTGGTGCCTCACTCCGCTGGACCCACCAGCAGCCCTCGAAAGTGACGACAGTTTCGCAGATCGCAGCCCCCCAGGGACGGCGAGGTCTAATCTGAATCTGCGTGGTGCCTCACTCCGCTGGACCCACCAGCAGCCCTCGAAAGTGACGACAGTTTCGCAGATCGCAACCCCCAGGGATGGCGAGGTCTAATCTGAATCTGCGTGGTGCCTCACTCCGCTGGACCCACCAGCAGCCCTCGAAAGTCGAGGTCTAATCTGAATCTGCGTGGTGCCTCACTCCGCTGGACCCACCAGCAGCCCTCGAAAATGACGACAGTTTCGCAGATCGCAGCCCCCCAGGGATGGCGAGGTCTAATCTGAATCTGCGTGGTGCCTCACTCCGCTGGACCCACCAGCAGCCCTTCGAAAGTGGTGACAGTTTCGCAGGTCGCAGCCCCCCAGGGATGGCGAGGTCTAATCTGAATCTGCGTGGTGCCTCACTCCGCTGGACCCACCCACCAGCAGCCCTCGAAAGTCGAGGTCTAATCTGAATCTGCGTGGTGCCTCACTCCGCTGGACCCACCAGCAGCCCTCGAAAGTGGTGACCGTCTCGCAGATCGCAGCCCCCCAGGGATGAGGAGGTCTAATCTGAATCTGCGTGGTGCCTCACTCCGCTGGACCCACCAGCAGCCCTCGAAAGTGGTGACAGTTTCGCAGATCGCAGCCCCCCAGGGATGGCGAGGTCTAATCTGAATCTGCGTGGTGCCTCACTCCGCTGGACCCACCAGCAGCCCTCGAAAGTGGCGACAGTTTCACAGATCGCAGCCCCAAAGGGATGACGTAAAAGGCAAGAGAGAAGAGGAGGAGCGAAGAGAGGAGGAGAAGGGAAGCAAGAGAGGAGGAGCGAAGAGAGGAGAAGGGATGCAAGAGAGAAGAGGAGGAGCGAAGAGAGGCGGAGAAGGGAAGCAAGAGAGGAGAGGAAGAGGGAAGAGAGGAGGAGGAGGCGGGAAGGAAGGAAGGTGGAGACCGCAGTGCTCTATTCAAAACGAGTACCCAACGCAGGAGGGTTGGGGGAAAAAACATCACCAGTTGGTTCGGGGCCTGTGCTGGCAAGCATCGGATTCAGGGTTCTCGCAGTCGGCCGTGCTTGTTCCCTTCCATATTGATGGGTCTGCTGCCGGCCCTGAGGCCACCACTTCACCCTGCGGAAGGACGTCGCGTCGCGCTGCTACCGGCTGTGCGACCACGAGTCCTACCCGCCGCGGCGGCCGTGGGCCACCCGGCCAGTGAGCGCTCTCAGAAGGCCACAGCCACGGTTGGTTCGTTCATCGCCATGAAGGAACGGGGTCCTAAGGGACACGGGTCCTGACGTTTTTCTGTGTTTTTGGCTTCCTCGGGTCCTCCACGGGCCTTGGGACCATCAAGAACGACTCGAATGAATTTGGACCTGGGCAAAGTTACTGGGGTCCAGGACCCCTTTTCCCTCATGACCCGTTTGTGTCATGCCATCGTCTTGTTTGTTCTGCGGCCGCGGGCGCGCCCCTTGTGGTGCAGTGGCGGGCCACAGGAGAGCGAACCCATCCCTCACTACCGCCGGGAGGGCGCGAGGTATGAGGGCCCCAGGGCGGAGTAGAAGAGTCGACTCGCTGAGCGGTCTCACAAAGAACTGCGCTCCGACGAGTGGGATGGCAGAGCTGGGCCTGGAGCGCTGCTGACCGAGGGCGCGCGGGCGCCCAGAGAGACCCAGCGGGCGAGCGAGACGGGGCTGGCGTGGAACGGCACGCGGGGAATTCCGGCGGAGAAGATCGCGCCCGAAGCGAGGCGCAACCGGCGGAACCGAGCCAGGCTTGCACTGCAGGCTCGCCCCCGGCTGCCCGCGCGACGAGGGCGAGATGCCTCGCGAGGGTCGCGGCGCAGCCCCGCCCTGGCCTGCGCCAGCTGGCCCCCTGCCCCTCCGCAGCCGTTTCGGCTCTAGGCGCCTTCAGCCCGAGCGGGGCCGCGCCCGAGGCCCAGCGGCGCCATGCCTCGCAGGAAGTGAGGCCCCCGAGCCCGCCGATGCGCGGGGGCGCAGGCACGGCTGCGCTGCCCCTGCCGCTCCCGAGGGGGAGCCCGCAGGAGCCGGGCAGACGGCCAGCGCAGCCGGCGTCTCCGCCCTCCGCGACGCCGAAGCGCATATGCCGGTGTGGCACGACGGTGCTCTTCCCGGGGGCGACCACCCAGCGCTCCTGCTGGCAGTGTGGGGCCAGGCTGACCATGGATGAGATCGGGCCCCCGCTGTACACCGTGCATGCGCGGGCGCAGCAGGAGCAGCCTGGCTCCCCCGGGCGGCCCCCCGCTCGGCCGGCCTCCCCCTTTCGCCCTCAGGCGCCCGTGCAGCTCCAGATCCGTGCCGCCCCCGCGCGGCCCCAGGCGCTCGATCCGCACGAGCCCGCTGCGCAGCCAGCGCCACAGGCGCCCCCGCAGCCCGAGCGGCCCGGCCTGCGCGAGCCGCCCGCCGCCTGCGGGCAGGCGCAGGGCTCGGGCGCCCTGCTGCGCGCCCTCCTCGCCGCGTCGCTGGCGGCGAACGCGGCGCTGCTCCTCTGGTGGGCGGGCGGCGCCGGGCTACCCGACAGGACCGCCTGGTCCTCCGCGTCGACAGGTGCCACGGACGCGAGGCCGCGGGATTCGTCCTTGGAGCCCTGGGCGCAGTCGTCGGAGGGGGGCGCCGCCGTGCTGGGCTCGCCTCCGGCGTCCCCGGAGCCCTGGGCGCAGCTGCCGGAGGGGGGCGCCGCCGTGCCGCGCCGGCCCCACGAGCTGGACACCGACGGTGACGGCATCCCCGACCGCCACGACTTCTGCAACGGGCGCCAGGTGGGCAGCTGGCAGTCCGGCCGCGCCACCGACTTCGACGGCGACGGGTGCGAGGACAGCACAGAGGACCTGGACAAGGACAACGACGGCGTGAGGGACTCGGAGGACAAGTGCCCCTTCACGCCACTCAAGTTCCGCTTCGTGTCCAACCACGCCTCAGACTTCGACGGCGATGGGTGCGCCGATGGCATCGAGGACGAGGACGACGATCAGGACGGGACGCCGAACAGCATGGATCGTTGCCCGAGGACCGTCTCCGTGCACACGCCGGACAGCGCAGGGTGCTCTCGAGAGCAGCTCGACCTGAAGGCGGCGGACGAGGAGAGTCTGAGGCAGAGGGCGCTGCTGCTTCAGCGCAGGGAGCAGGACACGGCCGAGCCCGCGCAGCCCGCAACCTGGCAGGAGTGGTTCAAGGTTTTATGCAACGTGCAGGACTTTGCGTTCTGGTCCTTCGAGGTTGTTCTGGGGGAGGCCTTCATTTTCGTTGTGGTCAAGGTCTGGGGCGTGGTGGAGATGTGGAACGAGAACAGGCGCAGACGCAACGCAGGATCTCCGACGGCCTCCGTGAAGCGATTCGCGAGCCAGGCAGTTCACGTTGCAAACTCATCGTGGAGATTCATGTCTTGGAGGAGCATGTTCCTTCGCGGTTCTGTTTACGTCAGTTTCTTTTTTGGTATGTACCTCTTGCGGGTCAGCAAAGTCACCATCGCACACAGCTTGATGCAGTGGAGGTGATAATACCATCAGTGCCAGCGAGCTCTGTCGGGAATGGCACTGGAGTTGTAGTGCCATAGTAGTCATTGACAGGCACGCCCTGTCGAGCATGCTGTTCTCACTGCAGGCTGGGGGTCTCCCTGCACAATGCCCGGAACGGGCCCCTGTCCGTTTTCATATGATCTCGAGGCCAGTCCGAGAGGGTTGCTCGCGACGAATGTAGGCTGGTGTCGTGCCGGCGCGGCTCCGACCCCAGCGCGGGCGTTCAAGGTTGAACGCCGCCATCGCAGATTCGGCCGACATCCAACGATTTGCGATGCCCCCGCGATCGTTCAACCCTTGATCGCTTCACGCGGCGTCAGAAACTGGTGCGCAAGTCGTCACGGCACGAGCCTGCCGTACGTTGCCCTGATGCTCCCCCCCCTTCTCGCATTGCCTCCCCCTCCTCCCATTTCGGGCGAAGAGAACTATGCACATGCACTGATCCTGGCAAGGCCCATCCTTGACCCAGGATCGGTGCATATGCCTTCCTGGCCAAGGTAGGAGGGCGTATGCACCGATCCTGGGCTCAGGATGGGCCTGGCCAGAATCGGTGCATGTGCATAGTTCTCTTCCCTCTACCATTCAGGGGCAACGACAGGGGGGGGATAGGCTCTGTGGGGGACGCATCGACCCACAATCGCCCACTGATTGCCCCGATAAGGGGCCCCACAGCCCGCCCCACCCAGGAAGTGTGCGGCTCCGCTACCGGAGGCACGTCGCCGATCTATCAGCGATGACTCGCCGATTCCAGGTCGACGTTTCTCAAGAGGGGAAGAAACACACAGACACAATTAATCGTCGATTTCCCAGAAAATATGGAAAAATATGGGAAGTGGTGGGGAAGACAAAAACCCCAGAAAATATGGGAAAATATGGGGAATCTTTTTATATGTGTGTATTTATTTGTGTGTCCCAGGGCCCCTTCAGTTTCCCCCTCTGTGCCAGTCCCCCCCTGTTGCTCCTCCTCGCCCGACCACGCCGACTCCCACCATTGAGGCTTACCAAATAGCTGAGGGCGTTCATGAAGCAGCCCTGCCCTGTTCGAGTCCTTGTCCGGGTGCTTACTATGAGGTTGGCTTTTCTGCTCTCTGTTCCCATCCCCTGTCCCCCCTCCTGACAGTGTCACAGTGTCGCTGCTGGCCCCGCAGCCCCCTCAAGAGGCGCGATCGGCGGCTCGGCAGACGACCTCTACAGGCCAGCGTTCCGGAGAGCCATCCCCCTCTCTCCCTCCCTCCTCCTCCATCGCTGCTCCCCCTCCCCCTCCTCCACTTCCCCCCCTCCTCTTTCTGGCCCTCCGCGTCCCAAGACCCCCGACGTCGTGATGGTTCGACCGGGTCGACCCCCAGAGGTCTGGACCCCTTCCCCGGGACCGGTTTCTCATCCAGAGTCGTCTTTTGACGGCTCCGGATCCCGGCGAGGGCCCCTGGAGGCCGAACATAGTGAAAAACCTCCCGTCGCATGTGTTCGACAACGCGAGGGGGTCTGGGTTCAGGGGTCCCCTCCCCCTCCTCCACCTCCCCCGTCTCATCCCTCTGGATCTCCGCGTCCCTGCTTCCCTCCCTCCCTCCCTCCTCCGTCCCGTCCTCCTTCAGGGGGCCCCCTCCCTCCCTCCTTCTTCCGCTGCTGGCCGCCGCCCTGGCCTCTGTCGATGCCGCGGCCAGTGAGCCCCGGGATTGGCAAGCAGCCGCAACTCTGGGCCGGCGCCGCGGGCGCCTCGCTCTCTTGTAAGTCCATCGCGGGCGCGGGGAGGAGGAGGAGGAGGAGGAGGAGGAGGAGGAGGAGGAGGAGGAGGAGGAGGACGAGGAGGAGGAGGAGGAGGAGGAGGAGGAGGAGGAGGAGGACGAGGACGAGGAGAGGAGGAAGGAGGAGGAGGAGGAGGAGGGAGGAGGAGGAGGAGGAGGAGGAGGAGGAGGAGGAGTAAGAGGAGGAGGAGGACGAGGACGAGGACGAGGAGGACGAGGAGGACGAGGACGAGGACGAGGACGAGGACGAGGAGGAGGAGGAGGAGGAGGAGGCGGAGGACGAGGACGAGGACGAGGACGAGGAGGAGGAGGAGGAGGAGGAGGCGGAGGAGGAGGTGGTGCTCAGAAGAGGACGATGCACCGATAGCGCATCCTTGCCTCGTTTTCGCCTTTCTGGGCTTCCTGGGAGGCCCCAGTCGCCACCGCTGGATTCGCCTCGAACTTCTGTTCGGAACGCAACGCGCGAGAGGCCCGGGGAGTAGCGCAATTGGTACCTTTTGATGTCGATGCGGGGTGCCCTTTCCATCTCACCGCAAGCGAGCGAGGCATCCCACCGCGGTGGCAGCCGCGCTCGAGGCAGAAGGCTGCTCGTGCGGTGATGACCTGGTTCTACGCCTGCTGCTGGAGGCGGTGAGGCCCTGCACCGTGGTTTTGTCATTGGACTGTGGCCGTGAGATGAAAATTCTCCACGCTTCGCATCTCTCCACCAGCCCGCTCAGAAGCGCTGCCGATGAGCGTTGATCTTCTCGAGGCTTTTTGGGGGTCCTCTCGGGGCTTTCTCGGGGTCCTCTTGAGGCTCCCTCGGAGCTCGTTTGGGGGGTGTTGGGGCCCTCTTAGGCCACTCTTGGGGGCCTCTCACGAACCCTGGATGGCCTCTTGGGACCGTCTTGGAGGCAAAGGGGGGGGTCCTTTTTCTAGTCCGCTCCTCAAGAGCCCTC